CTTTTTTCCCATTCTCCCCTTTTCTGTTTTCTGATTGTCTTTTCGTTACTGTCAATTGTTATTGTTTTGAATTTGTCGACTAAATTTCGATTAATATTCATCATATTTAGTCTTTATAGGAGTATATTTTTTAGTTTTTGTTTGCAAAAATTCATTCATCACAAAAACAAAACCCCAAGTATGTCGTCAACAAAATTAACACTGGTTTTGCACAGTTTGTCCCCTTTAACATTTGTTCTATGGTTCATGAAATATTTGCTGGCACAGGCAAAAACATGGTCCACCATTCGCCAGCAAGCAATTATGAATGACTCATGGCTTCATAATGCAATCTAAACCAATTTATAGTCAGGTCCATAAATATTGGGACATTGACGCAATGCTAACATTTTTGGCTCTATGCACCACCACAATGGATATCAAATGAAACAAACAAGATGTGCTTTAACTGCAGACTGTCAGCTGTTATTTGAGGGTATTTACATCCAAATCAGGTGAACGGTGTAGGAATTACAACAGTTTGCATATGTGCCTCCCACTTGTTAAGGGACCAAAAGTAATGGGGCAGAATAAGAACCATAAATCAAAGTTATACATTTCAATACTTGGTAGCAAATCCTTTGCAGTCAATTACAGTCTGAAGTCTGGAACACATAGACATCACCAGACGTTGGGTTTCATCCCTGGTGATGCTCTGCCAGGCCTCTACTGCAACAGTCTTCAGTTCCTGCTTGTTCCTGGGGCATTTCCCTTCAGTTTTGTCTTCAGCAAGTGAAATGCATGCTCAATTGGATTCAGGTCAGGTGATTGACTTGGCCATTGCAAAACAGTCCACTTCTTTCCCTTCAAAAACTCTTTGGTTGCTTTTGCAGTATGCTTTGGGTCATTGTCCATCTGCACTGTGAAGCGCCGTCCAATGAGTTCTGAGGCATTTGGCTGAATATGAGCAGATAATATTGCCCGAAACACTTCAGAATTCATCGTGCTGCTTTTGTCAGCAGTAACATTGTCAATAAATACAACAGAACCAGTTCCACTGGCAGCCATACATGCCCACACCATGACACTTCCAGCACCATGCTTCACTGATGAGGTGGTATGCTTAGGATCTCCATACTCTTCTCTTCCCATTACTCTGGTACAAGTTGGTCTTGGTCTCATCTGTCCATAGGATGTTGTTCCAGAACTGTGAAGGCTTTTTTAGATGTTGTTTGGCAAACTCTAATCTGGCCTTCCTGGTTTTGGGGCTCACCAATGGTTTACATCTTGTGGTGAACCCTCTGTATTCACACTGGTGGAGTCTTCTCTTGATTGTTGACTTTGACACTGAGTGCTTTTACATGCAGCCAGTAACCCTTTTAAAACCCAAATATTCACAATAACCCAGTTCCGCACGGCCATGTAAACACTGCCAAAAACCCGGATATGCTCATAACCGGGTACTACACCTGGGGTAACCCTTTTCTAACCCGAATGTTTGGTCGTGTAAACGCATATCGGGATATCCCCATCAAAGTGTGTGTTCCGTGCATGCTCTGTTCGCAAGAAATCTTGGTCTTTTGAGTAGCGAGACATCTTGTATGCGCCAGAACACCGGAAGTAAACAACAAGTTGGGAGCAACATGGCGAGTCGCGGCACAGCACCACACTTTTGAAGTGACGAGGAAACCTGTCTTTATCGGTCTGGTGAAAAGTATGAACATTATGTCTTTTGTTGACGGCCGAACTGGGAAACATGTTGTTTTCACGGATACCGGAACAAGAAGAACCGGAAATGACACATATTGCGTCTTGACGTAGTCCATACGTCCTGACGCTACCCCAACGTCCGCATTTAAATTGGGTTATGCAAGTTAGGGGTAACTCTTTCTATTAACGCTTGTAAACGGGTTATTCTGATCAACACAGAAACCCGAATACCGACCTTAACCCGATCATAACCCGGATATTGGCTGCATGTAAACGTAGTCAGTGATACACCTACCTCCTGGAGAGTGTTCTTGATCTGGCCAACTGTTGTGAAGGGTGTTTTCTTCACCAGGGAAAGGATTCTTCGGTCGTCCACCACAGTTGTTTTCCGTGGTCTTCCGGGTCTTTTGGTGTTGCTGAGGTTACCGGTGCGTTCCTTCTTTTTGAGAATGTTTCAAACTGTTGTTTTGGCCACGCCTAATGTTTTTGCTATCTCTCTGATAGGTTTCTTTTGTTTTTTTCAGCCTAATGATGGCTTGCTTCACTGATAATGACAGTTCTTTGGACCTCATCTTGAGAGTTGACAGCAACAGATTCCAGATGCAAATAGCACACTTGAAATGAACTCTGGACCTTTTATCTGCTCATTGTAATTGGGATAATGAGGGAATAACACACACCTGGCCATGGAACAGCTGAGAAGCCAATTGTCCCATTACTTTTGGTCCCTTAACAAGCGGGAGGCACGTATGCAGACTGTTGTAATTCCTACACCGTTCACCTGATTTGGATGTAAATACCCTCAAATAAAAGCTGACAGTCTGCAGTTAAAGCACATCTTGTTTGTTTCATTTGATATCCATTGTGGTCGTGTATAGAGCCAAAAATGTTAGCATTGTGTCGACTGTATTATATAAAATAATCGTTATGCCCTATTTAAAATTCGATAACCTATTAGGGATATTTTTCTGGATTTAAATGCTGATTAGATGTCTAATGACATGAAAGGAAATAGTAAATGCAGTATATATTGACTGCAGTCATGAAGTAATGATGTCATGAGGGTTTGGCCAAATATTTATACTACTGTTTCTTTTACTCTTAACAACTTATGTTGTTTACTCCAGCTCTGAACATTTGTGTGTTTGTGTTAGCGGGCCTAACCGTGATAAACGAGGTTAATCATCTTGGAACTGCAGCACAGGATGGGTTTTATTAACTGCAATAGCCATAGAACTGCAGCCTGCTTGTGTGTGTGTGTGTGTGTGTGTGTGTGTGTATGTGTGAGTGTGTGAGTGTGTGAGTGTGAGAGCCCAGGAAGGTACTGCTAATAAGGCTGAGAGGCTCACAGAGGCCAAAATGCTTTTGTTTACATTCTGCAGCCTCACAAACTGTGTGCACATTTGTGCACAACCTGTTTTACTCCAAGCAGCTGAATTAGCCCACAAATGCAGCTGTTGGCAGGTGTGCATTTTTGTGTGTACAGGTGTGTAAAATTGCATCCCCAAGGTCCCTAAATACGTAGTCAGAGACCACCTGAGCCTGGCATGACAAATAGATTTAGGCTAAAAACAGGTGATAGTACATCAGTTTGTGTGTGTGGAAAAACAATTTCTCATGTTGTGTGTTGCAGGTATATTCACCTTTGTCCTTTGTTGACACATTGCTTCTCTCTCTCTCTCTCTCTCTCTGTGTGTGTGTATATAAATATATTGCAAATTTAGTGCTTTTCTTTGGATGTGTGGTGTAAATAGCTGTTGTTCTCTTTTTGGCAAAATCTTCAAAGGCCAGTTTTTAAAGAGCAAGACATTTTTTAAAGTATTAGAAAGGAGAAGCTTCTAGTTGATACTAGTAAATTCTTATTAATTCAGAAAAATTATAGGACCCTAAGCAAAATAACGTCTGCACCAAACTGAAGGCAGCTTTTTTGGGATGCACCAGATTACCCATAAAAAATTTTAATTGTAAAGATAACAGAGATTAACTTGGATTACAAGTTTTTATTACTAGTACATTATGAAATACAAGAAGAAATTTTAATGCTAAAATGTAATGTTTATTTTTCTCAAATTCAAATATTTCTCCAACTCTGTTCAGACAACTATTATAGTGAGCAACATAAAGGATTGATGCTGGTGAAAATTAGAGGGGGTTTAAAAAGTTTTGAGTGTTTTGAGTCAGAAATGATGCATTTAGGGATTGTAAAGCAGTTGTAGAAATCATGTGTCATGTGATTCATCTGGGATTTTTATGCTAAAGCATAACACATAAAGTTAATGTGAGTGACGGGCATTTTTGAAGATTTGCCATTTCTGGAAGTTTTTGGAAGAGTCCCATTTAGTTTCTTTATTGAACTTTATTCCCTCTAATCTTGTTTCTAATGGACAGCTATTACTTCTACTTAATTGAGTAAGAAAGCCACCACCGGTGCCGCTATGTTGAAGCTTTATGAAAATGAGGCTGAATCAGTTCTTTTTTCAGTGGCTTTTCAGAAGATAGCTTCAGCTTTATTGGAGAATTACAATCCAACCAGTGATGCTAAAAAGGCCCAAGGAAGGCCCAAGTAAATTTTTTTCAATACATTTGCAGTGGTCTGTAGAATAAATAATGGCTTGTGAGTCAATCTCTGTAGGGACAAATGCTGTCACACTCCTGGTTCAGGAAGTACAAGTTAGTCAGAGGGGAGGGAAGCAGAAAACAGCAAAGAAGTTGGAGTCTTATTCATTATTATTTTCAGATAATCGAACATCTCACCTCTGATTGGCTAACAGCAACACGACTACCACTGACTCAGTTTGCTCAGCAACACTGGTCATTTATTTACACCAGTAACAAGCCTGAAGGACTTTCTTCTGTGTGGTGAAGTTGCTAATGCTAACGGTTAGCTTCTACTAGCCGAGATGCGTTCAGCTCTCTCCTAAACCAACAACCTTCCTTGTTGGGAGCCAAGATGGGTGAGGCCATGCGTGACTTAAATCTGAGTTACTTTTCTAATCCAAGCTTTTTCCTTTCTGTTTGATATCAGGAGTTAATGCAGAAAATAAGGGTAGAAGACTGTATTCAGGCTCAGCCTACATGTGAAACTCAGACTGACCAATCATATTTAAAAAATGTGTAAATTTTTTTTAGTGAACTAGCTGCATTTTTCATGTCTTTTAAGCAATACTTCTTGTCATCCACTACTGCAAGTAGGTAGCAAATGAGGGTCAAAGAAAAAAGTGCAGTTTTCCAGAATTTTAAGATGCAAAAGGTGATGACACGCAAGTCTTGGAGCGCAGAAACACAGATATAAACATAAAGGGTATTCTCACCTGGCACAGATGTTCCCAATGCAACAAATACGACTGCTGTGACGGAGTCTTTCAGACCCACCGTGCAGCCAAAGTGGGAGGCCAGATCCCCTGGAAAAACACAAGCATATTTCTAGTCACAATTGAGAACAAAGTCATTAGATTTGACACAGGAAATAAATGTAGTCTTTATTCCAGAATTTTTCTATTTTAAATTTGATTTCAGGTGCCCACCGATGACGGCAGTGAGCAATCCGATCATGCAGATGGACACAACAAAGCAGGCCCAGCCGCTCCAGTAATCAGTTGGTGGGACAAAGGCGAACAAAACCTTCCAGAAGACGGTCAGAAAGTGCATGACATAGTCAAAGCACGAGGGCAGCTTCTCCTCACCGCACTCCTCATCATCGTCATCTTCCCCTGGAAAGAAGAAGAAACGTTTAAATGAGTGGCCTCTTTCAGTGTTTAACCTAGACTTGCATGAGAAAAGTACATCACTTCTCCAGCTCAAAGTAGGAAAAAAGCAAACCCAGATTCCTCATGTTTAACCCTGCTGCTACAGCTGAACCAGAAGAGGAGTCTCCTGGAATAAAACCTGTAACAGGAGGCGATTCAGCCTACAGCTCTCAAATCAAAACCATTGCTCTGTATACAGATGGACCAAACATCGCTTCTTTGTTCAATAATGCAGACACGACTTGAACAACATTCATATTTTCCATTTATTTCAAATTGTAAAATAAATAACATTGACTCAGTTTCACAATTTGTAACATAAAGAGCGAAACATATTGACATTTAGAAATTCATTAGACAAACATAATACCTGACTCAGCTGCACAGCCAGTGTGTAACCATCTAATCATCACCTCTGACATGAACTACAGCCATCTGCAGCAGCTCTAAGAATGCACACAGGCTATAATTAAAGGGGAGAGCAGCTGAAATGTACAATTCAAACGATTTTCTCTGCTCGATGAAAGGCACACATACACACAAGCGGATCCCTTGGTTGTTCCGCTCCATTTATAAAAGGACTGAGATGAATAAAGTAGACTTCCTGCTGTTTTAGTGAATCACGCTGACTGGGTGAATCCTAAAGAGAGCCACGATTTCTCATTGATATCACCCCTGCCACTCACTGCCTATTTACTATAAAGTCTAAAAAGTAGGAGATGCATTTCAGCTTCCCGAACAACCAACCAGAGCAAACACATTCACACTTAAAGTGAACTTTGGAGGCCTGTGTGGGTGTTAAGCTGGGTGGTCACTGTGCGACTTTTTCACTCGTAGCACTCAGCTTCAGCTCAAACTGTACGACTTCCTCGCAGGGCAGATCTCACGAGTCATGCGCTCACACTGTACGACCCAGTTCTCGGATGAGACCTGACTGCTCACACTGTATGTCTGGTAGCAACACGTTGGACCTAAAAATATGCTAAAAATAGTGGTTTTTACACAACACGTCAGACTTTTTTGTGTTGTTTTGCTTGTTGTCCTTCAGGAGTGCTGCAGGAGGACAGACAGGGATGCATGGGGGTTGGATGAGGAAAACGAAATAAAGTACACCAGCCACTTATTGTTGGTTTAAGTTTACCGTTGATTTACTGATTACGTTGTATATTCTACAATCCTGTTAAATTAAATTCAAGCTGACGGATAAGTATAAATTAGCCTTCAGTCGTTTCTCTCCTCCAACACATTTGATATAACTGTTCAGCAGCTCATCAAGCTCTGCAGATGTCTGTTTTTTCACCTGCTGGTTGAAATCAGGTGTGCAGAAGCAGGGGGAAAAAACAAACAAACTAAAACCTGCTGGATAGTGGCCCTCGCTGAGGGGAGTTGTCTACCTCTGCTTTAGAGCAATCCCTCATGTTAAGCATGCATGTAGAGACACTGGAAAGGAAAAATTCTATGGCGTTTAAAGCGTGCCACAACCCGTGCGCGCGCATTGGGTCCACAGCGCGCGTGTGAACGGGACTCGCGAGCGCAAATATACATGGCAGCGTGCGTGTGAACGGGACTCGCGAGCGGAAATATACATGGCGAGAGGTCATTTGTGCACTGAGAGGGAGCAAACTGTGTCTGTGAGCGCACAAGGATGCACAAGTGACAAACCTGCGTGCGCGCGTTGTCAACGAGCACACGGCAGAGGAAAACGTGCGCGCTCGGCAGCCTCTCTGCGCGCTCGGTTTCTGACTCCTGCTCGCTCGGCTGTAAGGGCTTTTGGCACTCTGGAGGCGTGGCTTGTGGCAGATCTTCTCTGTCCTCTGATTGGTTAGTTTACCCCGCACTTTACACTCTATCTATATAAAAAAGTCTGATATTCAGTAGTTGCTGGCATAGCTCAGCTGGGAGAGCGGGTGACTCTTGCCCCGGAGGATCCAGGTTCGAGTCCGGGCAAGAAAAATGCAGTAGATGTCATGTTAATTTTTCTTAATTTCAGGTATTTTACAGTTGTGACCGTTCAACTGTCATTAAACGTCCGAATGTTTGCTGGGCAGTGTTTTAAAAAGTGCACATAAGCTAGATGGTTTTAACCATATAAAATTACATTTTTTGTGATACTGGAAAAATACATACTGAAATAAAACTACTGGTTGAAAACTTTATGACTGTGGTTGTACAATATATGACTCACTAATACACTGCAAAGGCCCTTAGAGTGGGGCTGAGAGAGAGAGAGAGAGAGAGAGAGAGAGAGAGAGAGAGAGAGAGAGAGAGAGAGAGAGAGAGAGAGAGAGAGAGAGAGAGAGAGAGAGAGAGAGAGAGAGAGAGAGAGAGAGAGAGAGAGAGAGAGAGAGAGAAGAGAGAGAGAGAGAGAGAGAGAGAGAGAGAGAGAGAGAGAGAGAGAGAGAGAGAGAGAGAGAGAAGTTCTTGCCTCATTAATGTATTGTTTATTTTTTTCAGTATTTAATTGACAAATTATCCTTTCAAATAATTAATTGATGAGTTACATAATTGTCCATTTAGAATTGTTGAATGGACTGAGTCAAGTTTGGTGCACTTTATATATTTCAAAACATGTTTTTTTTAATGATGCATATAAATAATTTAAATGTTAATTTAATGAAATAATTCTATTTTTTCATTACCTCACCCTTGTTTTGACAAAAACGGGACCTTGCTGGATAATATCATGGAGAAACTATTTGTTCACAGTACATGGCACAGTGAGGATCTGTATACCAAAGGAGGAGATACTCAGAAATCTGTCTGCAGATTGTTACAACCCAGACTGGAAGTGGTGGGCTGTAATAAGAAAGGAGACCAAACAGAGGAGTGGGGGTTCAACAACTGATTTATTTAACAAAAGTAAGGATTTACTAAAGCAAGTTAGTGAACAGAAAATGGCCAGTGAGGACTCTCCACCACACAGGAGAGACCCAGTGAAAGCAGAAAAACAGTAGGCTTTGTAGGCAGCACCACACCCTGAGTCCAGGTGCCTCCAAGGCTGCTTAACGAGCTGCCTACAACAGAAGAAAAACACAATTAAACACAAATGAAAACCCAATGAGACGGTGGGGGCATCACAACACGTTCAGGACTACCCAAACACCAGTAATTCTTGACTGCACTGATCTGCTTTAGTAAATCCTTACTTTGGTTAAATAAATCAGTTGTTGAACCCCCACTCCTCTGTTTGGTCTCCTTTCGTATTACAGCCCACCAATTCCAGTCTGGGTTGTAACAATCTGCAGACAGATTTCTGAGCATCTCCTCCTTTGGTATACAGATCCTCACTGAGCCAAGTACTGTGAACAAATAGTTTCTCCGTGATATTATCCAGCAAGGTCTTGTTTTTGTCAAAACAAGGGTGAGGTAATGAAAAAATAGAAATATTTCAATAAATTAACATTAAAATTATTTATATGCATAATTAAAAAAAACATGTTTTGAAATATAAAAAGTGCACCAAACTTGACTCAGTCCATTCAACAATTCTAAATGGACAATTATGTAACTCATCAATTAATTATTTGAAAGGATATTTTGTCAATTAAATGCTGAAAAAAATAAACAATACATTAATGAGGCAAGAACTTTTTAAACTTGAACATACCTACACCCACAAGTCTATTTTTACCTGGTTAAAACCATCTAGTTTATGTGCACTTTTTAAAACACTGCCCAGCAAACATTCGGACATTTAATGACAGTTGAACGGTCACAACTGTAAAATAATATCACAGAAATTAGGAAAGAATAATATGACATCAACTCTATGTTACTTGGCCGGACTCGAACCTGGATCCTCCAGAGTGAGAGTCACCCACTCTCCCAGCTGAGCTATGCCAGCAACTGCTGAATCTCAGATTTTTTTATATAGATAGCTAGAGAGTAAAGTGCGGGGTAAACTAACCAATCAGAGGATAGGGAAGATCTGCCACAGGCCACGCCTCCAGAGTGCCAAAACTCCTCACAGCCGAGCGAGCGGAATTAGGAACCGAGCGCGCAGAGGCTGCCGAGCGTGCAGAGAGGCTGCCGCGCGCGCACGTTTTCCTCTGCCGTGTGCTCGTTGGCAACGCGCGCACGCAGGTTTGTCACTTGTGCACATCCTTGTGCGCTCGCAGACACAGTTTGCTCCCTCTCAGTGCACAAATGACCTCTCGCCATGTATATTTTCGCTCGCGAGTCCCGTTCACGCGCGCGCTGCCATGTATATTTTCGCTCGGCGAGTCCCGTTCACACGCGCGCTGTGGACCCAATGCGCGTGCACGGGTTGTGGCACGGGTCTGACGCGATAAAAATCCTCTTTAACAGGAAGAAAACTCCAGCAGAACCTGGTTCAGTATGTGTAGCCACCTGCCACAGTCTACTGGTATTTGAGAAGACCCTGCATACAAGTCCATTCATCCATATCCAAGACAAGGCCAAATAGAGGTCCAGAAGTAAAGACATCCTTCTCCCAAGGCCATGCCAGGCCAGAGAGGCTATATAAATGCTCCAAAGTGTTCTAGGTCTTCCTCAAGGTCTCAATCCAACACGATGTGCCCGGAAAACATCTAGAAAGACAATCAAGTCCTCCCAATCAGATGACTGATTCCCCTCTGTTCAGAAGTACCCTAGATGACTTAGTTCCCAGCCTTATCTCTAAGGCAGAACCCAAGTAATCCACAGAGGATGCTTGAATCTTATGACCATTGATAGCGCTTCAGAATAAAGATGGACCAGACAATGTACAGCTTTTTTATCTTGCCCAGCTCCTTTACCATAAAGGATTGGAGCAACACCTTCAACAAATTATTCACCAACTCCATCACTCTTGGACAACATTTCTAGAAACCTACACTCCTCCCCATGAGGCACAGCTTGAAACTCTTTTGTTTCAACCTTTCATGTCAACAAGGAGGTCATTATGATTGAATAAATTATATTTTAGTCACTGACATGGTGTGTCTCTTTATTTTGCCCGAAAA